GGTGGGGGGCTTATTGGTCAGCCTGATGGATAGCCCCTTCATCAGAGCTCTGAAGCTCCTATGTTGAATAGTTTGAGTTATAAGAATTTTTGTATGTCCAGACACTCCCTTTTCAGGTGAAGCCCCCTCCTCAAATACGGGGTCTATCGTAAAACCATTGGCTGGTGCTGTGTAGGTCGGACACATCTATATTCCTGCCAAATTTCATGTTAATCGTTTCCATGATTCGGTTGACTAGAAATTACTAAAAAAAATTAAAAGAAATAAACAAAATGAAAACAATATGACCTCCGCTTTGTGTGCAGGAGTCATAATAAGAAACTCACCTGTAAATAATCTGTTGATAAACCAGCTGAAAGCTAAGTAGATAACATTCTAGTTACCAACACATCGTGATGTAATGACTTAGACCAGGGGTGTCCAAACATTTTGTCACATGGGCCAAAATCATAAAGTCAGAAGGACTTGAGGGCCAAAAATATTTTTCCTTTAATTGCTCGACAATAAACTTAAGCATTGAATACTTTAATTAAACTAATAAATTAGTCAGATTTATTGCTGGAAATGTATGCGTAAATTAATCTAGATCCAGAACTTTAAAAGTGTTTTTGCAAGTTTCCCTTATTGAAAGAAATATTACAATTATCTAGGTTTCAATTTAGTCAATTCTGATCAATAAAATCAGAATTTATGTCACTCTTTGGTTGAAAGTGCTTGCTGTAGTCAGACAAATTTAATAAATTAATTAAAAGCAGATTGGAGTGCAGCAAAACCAGCTTTTGAGTGGAAGTCACTAAATAGATGTGAAAAAAGCTAAGAGCCTGGTTATTTAAAAGACAAATATTTGGTATTGTTGCTAGTATTTTTACTTATAAGATTTTACTTTGTGATAAATTTACCCTAATAATAAATAGAAAGTCTCCATCTACATCAAACACCTGTGCTGGGGCTACAAATTTTAAAACAAGTTAGTATAATTCTTGAACTGAAGTCAGGGGCCACACAAAATCAGTTCTGGCCCCCGGGCCACACTTTGGATATCCCTGACTTAGAAAGTGTTTCACTCCACAATCAGGACGTTGAGTTATTTCCTGTCAGAGCTGCTACAACATGCCCCTCAGCGTTATCAGACAGAATCGTCTCCTCAGGATCTAGGATTAGAGTTTTGCAGGAGCGGGTGCAGTTTAGGTGCCTCGAGGAGCTCAGCTGGAGACCGGCGTCGTAATGAGCCGAGCTGAAAGCTTCTGAGAGCGAAACCATTCGGCTTTCAAGTCCCCGGCGGTGGAAGCGACGCAGAAGGGGATGGGAAAGTTTGTCTTGGTTCTGCTGTGGATTTTCTTCAAGTTAATTAGCCGTGAAACTAAACATACTTTAACTGTTTTCGTCCCAGTGGCTTGTTTCTTCTCATCAGTGTGTCATGTTAATGATACGTCTATCAAAAAAGAAAACACTTCTAATGAACTGTTTGTTTACTCGAGTGAGCGATGATGGAGTCGTTTGTCATTTATTTTAAAAAATTGTTAAATTTGCGCGACCTGATTGATTGGGTTGCTCCTACGCGTTGAAAAGGGTGAGCAGCACAAACGGCACTCGCGCAGAAAAACTGTTGACTGCAGCCGTCTGTGATGCACTGGTGCAGTTTCACATCAATTCCGGGCCTTTCCGAAACCCTCCACTCTTAGATCTGTTTTCAAAAAGCTTTGGTTTCAGAGGAAACGGGTGGTGTTAATGTGCACAAACAGCTGGAGTGTAAAAAAATAATTAGGGCTGCAACAACGAATCGAGAAAAATCGATTATTAAAAGTGTTGGCAAAAACAAATTTCATTATCTATTTGTTGTGTCGGCTGATTTATGATGGTATTCATTTTATTATTAAGCTTAAAGTTTTAATTTGAAGACAATGTTTGAGTACACTTGCCTTAATCTAATACTGCAAATAAAACAAGGTATTTATTGAATTATTGTAATAAGCAGCTGTTTAGACTGAAAGTCTTCTTAACATGATGTCACTGACATCAGACTGTTCATGGTCAAACATAAAGACTTCACTAGAATAGTTCACACGTTTATCTCAGGTGTCACTCTTCTCTCAAAGACACGTTTTACAAAACTCATGGAGAGAAAATATAAAGAGACTTTAAAGGTATGGCACATATTTGTGTGTATTTTTGTGTACATTCATTTTTTACTGAAGCTGCTTATTTATGCATTAGTATTTAATATTATTAGACCTGTTTTTGTGCGATTTGCAATGTCAGTCCAAATTTTCTATTTTTGGAATAAAGGGGTCAAAATTACAATTTTTTTAATTAATCCATTAATCAATTATTATAATAATGGTTAGTTGCTGCCCTTTTTTGCTTACAAATAACACGACTGATACCCTAACAGTACCTTTTTACAGAAATAAATGTTCAGAATTTTGAGTTTTATCACCTAATTCTTAGTTTTACTTTTCGATATTGAGATATACATTCATTTAACAGGAAATTACTTCTTTTGTTTAAAGATTTTTTCTAAAAACCAAGTTTATTATAAAAGCTTAAAGCGACCTGGCTTTCATTTTTGTGCACAATTTTGTCTTTATACCTCTGTCCTGTTGCCAAGCAATAAAATCTTTTCCTCTCCTACAGTGTGATACAAACACCTGCATCCTGATGGTGTATAGTTAAAAACATGAACCACGTCCAAGTCATATTTACATAATTTCTGAAATGTTTTCATGTTTTTATAGTCTGTTAAATCCTGCAATTACGGCACAGATAATGTTATAGTTTCATTATGAAACCTGTCCATTAATGTTAGTTTTAGAAGCCCTGAGACAAGACTGATGAGAACCAGTCTGATTAAATGTTTTCTTTTCTTTTTTTTTCTTTTTTTATTTTGCGTTTTTTAGTCCAGGATTTAATCAAGTTCTTTAGTTTGTTGTACAAGTGCAATCCTCATGATTCATGATGCCAGTTTATTCGTTTAGCATTCAAATTTCTATTTATCATGCAACCTGACTCATGACGGTTCACTAACAAATCACTTCCAACGCAAACTGCAATCAGGGGAGGAAAGAGGCCAAATTACAGCACAGCAGTTTTATGAAAGATGAAGAGCAAGAAAGAAGGATTCATAAAAAAACATGCAGAATGTTGTTTTCTTAACATCTCCACTTTAATGTGGCACATTTGTTTCAGAATAAGAATGAAGATTCTTGTCGTTTTCAGCTCGTGCGACTCTTTCCCCTGCTGTAATTTTAGGAGAACGGCTCAGGATGCCTGGACACCGTCGGAGCGGTGGTGGTGGACTTGGAYGGGAACGTAGCTGCAGCTGTGTCCAGCGGAGGCCTGGCGATGAAACACCCCGGCAGGGTTGGCCAGGTAGAGGGGCTTTTGTTCATGTTGCTCCCTGTTTGGATCTATTTTTGTGCTGCAACATTTCATTAGTACGGTCTGTACCATACTGTACTCGGCTCAAAGAACAGTTTACACTTAATTACATTTAACACTTAATAAGCTCACTCCTGTGTCAAATTATCACGCTGCTTATTGTTACCGCAGCTCAAAAAACTCAAATTACACCTGCAGAATAAATGAGCTTGTCAGGTAAATTACCTGTGTATGTGGGGAAAGTGTTTGCAAAGATTTCATGAATCATTGGACTAATTATTGAAAGTAATTATTGGATCGGATCTAAAACTAATTAACATTTAAAATAAGCCTTTTTAAAGGTGGCCACCGCTGCTAATCGACCTTATCCAATTAAAAAATATCTGTTTTACAGATATCAAAATAAAACTAGGTGGTGTTGGTAAGATATTCATCCTCAACACATACTAAGTATTAACATGTGCATTCCTTCAACGAATGCTGTTTATTTTGATTTGACATGAGTTTGTCCACAGTAAAGACATCACAGATTAAGCTAGTGGCCCTCTTTCTTGAGTGCTTTAATCTAACCGTTCTTCTTTAATCGTTTGGTATGTCCTTGATGGATTTAGTTTACACTGTCCTGCATAAAGTGCAACATTTTCACCTTATAAAGAGGTTCTGCATTTGGTCCGTGCCAGATGTATCTGCTGTTATTGTAGGCAGATATTCTTCTTTGATTTATCTGTCCAAAGCACATTAATAAAACAGACCCGGTCTTTGCTTCTACTTATGACCAGTTGTTTCACTCTAAATGTTCTTTTTGGACAGCAAAGACCTTTTTCTGACATTAATCTACTGTAGGCCCACAGATGGAACAACCACGGCCTGTTAAAATATTCGGGTTCTTTAAGAAATTGTTTGCATCAAAAATAATCTCTGAAGGTGATAACTTTTTATTTGAAACAATTGAGATCTTTTAAAACTCCCTGTCAGACTTGCAAACAGTAGCTGCTAAAAACCCTATTTGCATGGGTTAAGCATTATCTGGTGACCCCATGTAATAAATAAATTACTCCCCGATGTTTGTTTTTATGTGGCGCAGTCGCACGGGATAACCGAAGCCTGAGATTTTGCTGAAATTTACAGACATCTCCCTGATAGGACATTGAAGCCTGGATTATAGTTGACACTTTGTCACGGCATGAGGGTGCATGCGCCAAAAGTGCTCTGCAAAGGCTGCGTGTGCCACACACCATTCAAATGGCTTGTTTGTTCGTCAAGCTTTTGCTCTCCTATTTACAACACAAGTTATAAAGTGTTCTCCTGCGTGTCCTTTTGAAGAATACTACAACAACATACATGCCAAGTATAAACGCCTACACTGCTGGTAAGAGTAACCCAACGCGCGACTATAATCAAGCCTGAACGCGCTGTGCTACGGACACAGCTCGGCGCTGTTATTGCCAGCGCCAGCCAAACAGAGAAAAAAATATTCTTACCACATCAGAAACAAATGAAAAACATCTAAACAATAACTAGCAAATGCTAAAGAAAAGTGATTATCAAAAGTATTTTAAGTGTGTTTTATTTATTTATTTATTTATTTATTTTTCAGTTAATGTTTAGTTTGTTGCACTCCAGGGCAGCTAATATATTATGTATTGGGGCGGTTGTGGTGAAGTGGTTAGGGGAGTCATCCCGTAACCAGTAAGGTTGCCGGTTCGATCCCCAATTACAGCTGTCTCAGTCATTGTGTCCTTGGGCAAGACACTTCACCCGCCTTGCCTACTGATGATGGGCAGCCCCGCCTCTGTCACTGTGCCCCAGGGCAGCTGAGGCAGGACCCTACCACTAGGGCTGGGCAAAATTGGCAAAACAATTAATCACGGTTAATTGCGATGTTTAGCCAATAACTGTTAATATGACTATTAGTCTATTATTACGAGTTATGATAAATAAATTACAGAACCTTTTTTTTTAATGTTTTGCATATTTGAAGCGGAGAGGAGCACCAAGCGGACTGACCGAGGAAATCTCCAGTCTGCTTGGTGACGTTAATCGTATTAATCGTCAAATGCCAAAAAATAATTGATTATAGTTTTTCCAACGATTAATTGCACACGATACGATTTTGCCAAACCCTACCTACCATCATCAGTGTGCGACTGGGTGAAGTGTAAAGCACCTTGGGGTCCATATGGACTTGATAAGGCACTATATAAGTTCAAGCCATTTACCATATATCTTCCTAAGAAATGCAGCAAAAATAAGTTTATATTGCTTTTATTTTAGTCATATAATCTAAGTGTCAGTGTAGAAAAGTTTATTAAAGGTTTCATTAACCAGCTGGTACCACCAACCCCCAGCTTTCTGCTCTTATTGCTTTGTACCTCCCTTTGCTCAGCTGGTCTGATATCTGCTCTGTTTTTATGTAGCAGAATAAATAAACATCCTCTTCTAACAGACTAAGTTTGACGAGGCCTCCAATGCACTGAGCTCTCTTGTTTATGATTTGATTGAAAATGCCTGTGTGGAAAATCTCTCACTTGGAGCCAGTTACAAGGAATTCTGTGATTCTCTTAAAAGTAACACAAGTGGAAAATGTCTGCGCACCACGAGGCCAAACAGAACAAATGAGCAGAAGGTTCTGACTTTAACCTAGTAACTGTTTTTAATGTTGCGCTCGGAGCAGTTGATGGTTCGGGTTGCTCTTATTTACTGATTCTGACTGTGGCTGATTCATTCATTGTTAATAGTCTTTACTGTGCAGCTCTTATCTTTTATGTTAAGTTGTTTAATTATAGAGAAAACCTTTTTTTTTTCTTTTTTTTTTCCAGGCTGCTCATTATGGATGTGGCTGCTGGGCTGAAAATGCACGAAACGCAAACCCTTACTCCACAGCAGTGAGTACCTCAGGTATACCTGCACGTTCTCTACATTTAACTTTATATTTCTGTCCAACTGCATGTGAATAAATGTCTGAGCACCCCCCCCCACCTCACTTCACCACCAACATTTTTTCAGTTTTGGAGTTGATATGAATCAGCCTGAGTGAGTCAAGGCTTAAAAGGGCCCGATAATACTTTCCGATGACCTCCAACCGTTCCCGCTGAGCAATCCTCATCAGTCACTTCCTCAGCTGATTGAGTCATCTACTCACTCTTTGTTGGCCAGCTGCAGGCCAGGTGCACGGCCAGGCTCTTTGGGTTTTCAGTGACGCTCGACACGGGACACCTGCCTCAGATTTAATAGAAAGAACCGCTGCGAGAGCAACACAGTAATGGGAAATTTGCAAAGTACTTATCTCAATTTAGTTTTTTATAATCCATGAATTAACGTGTGGTAGTTATCGTTTTTGGTTTAAGCAGGAACCTGAGAGTTTTATATCAATGCTAAAAGAAATCCTATTGGTCAACTTTGATCATTTGTTTTTTTCTTCTGCTCTTAAACAGCCACATACAAATCGTGTGACAATGTATTTGCTGTTTTCTGCAGCACGTTCTGCCGTTCTGGGTGGAAGTTCCAAACTAATATCTCTTTGCTTTGTAAGTACTATCATTACTGGTGCACAAAACAGTGCAACAACTTTGTCTACCCATTTCCTCCCCAGTAGTAAGATATAGGGCTGTGTATTGGCTAGAATTTCATGACAGAAGGGTCACGATACAATATATCGCGATATGTTGCGATACTGTGAGCAAGGTGATATACAGTATTGCCATTTTTTGTCCAAAACTTCAAATTAAAAAACTTTCATATTTCTTATTTAATCCATGTTTTTAATTATTAGACTAAATGTGCAATTTAATAGTTCAATATATTTATGGCAGCTTTTAGATTTGAATACTAATAGCATATATCTTATCCTAAAGCTTAGTGAATGTATGACCTTAAGGGGGGAGTGCAAGTACACCGGTCTTTTTATTGCGCTGTGTTTGTGATCGTTGTATTTGGCCACTTCAGTACCCTCCCTCGGGGACCCCATGAGCTTGGGGGGCTAGACAAATGCTTGCTTGCCTGCCTTCCGTAACGTGACGGCTGACTGCAGTCGTTAGAAAAAACGTCTATTTAGCTTAAGTTACGGACATTCTGGCTGAAAAGGGACTTTTAGCAACCTTACCTCAGCTTAGAAGGCAGTGGCTAATCCGTTCAGCTTCAGCCATCGGTGCTAATGTTTACTCACACTGCTAATGTTTGAGCTAGCGTTATACACTCTGGCTCCTCCGGCTGAGTGCTGCCAACTAGCGGTCGGAGGCTGAACTACAACATTTTGAACCTCAATTAAAAATCAATACAGGGCTTTAGAGAATCAATACAGTATCGAGAAAATAAATACAGCGATATTTCAGTATATCGATATTTTCTTTCACGTAGCTACAGAATTAGTATTTGATTTAAAAAACATCAACTATTAGATCTGTGAAGTTATCAGACATGAAGGATTACTGCACATAATTAAAAAAATCTTAAGTGTCTTCAATTATTTGAACAAAACCATTTAATGCCAGTTATTATTATTATTATTATTATTATTATTATTATTATTATTATTAGTAGTAGTAGTAGTAGTAGTAGTATTATATCCCAGAAAAATACATTATTTCAGACATATAATAACTTAAACTCTTTAAACCGAAGCCCTGGCTTGTTGGGTTTAAGGTAAAACAGCTGTTGAGACAAAGTCATCCTCCTCTCAGTTCTGATCTGCCATTATAAAAACAAGGTTTTCTCCTCAGTGTTTTAAAAAATAAAAGTCTGTCTCCTCTTTTAGCTTTAAGCGACAATGCAGGCTGTTCAGGTTTAAATTTGAGGTGGAGAGGCCATATAAGCGCCTCTTCTTTAAGATGCGTAGACATCTGCAGCGTAGCTCCTGGGGAACATTAAAGAGCTTTTGAAGTAGATCTGAAGCCTAATGCATCGCAGCGCAGATGAACTGATCTGATCAGACAGGCTCAAGTTTGACTTATACATACTTGAGCCTCTAATATATCTTGCATTTGGCAGAGAGATAATCCATAGCAATTGTTAGGAGATTTTAAGGTAAACAAACAGGTAATTGATTCTAAACCTTTAATTTGCAGTCATTGTTTGCTCTTTAGTTCTTTTCTGGCAAACTTGCGTTCTCTACCAGAGGTCTCTGCAGTATCAGCTGCTCTTAGGCAGAGTTGTAAAGTAACTAAGTACAAATACTTTGTTACTGTACTTAAGTAGAATTTTTGGGTATCCGTATTTTACTTGAGTAATTATTTTAAAGCCTACTTTTTACTTCTACTTCTTACATTTTCACACAGTTATTTATACTTTCTACTCCTTATATTTTTAAATAAGGCAAGAAGTAGAAAGTCGTTACTTTTCATTCCGTCTTGTTATTGTAAAGAATAAATTCTATCCATATAAACTGAGCCTCCTAGATAGAGTGAATTTAATTGTGGTTGAATGAGAAGTATAAATATATAAAACTCTGATAGCGTATTAGTTTGTACACAAACAAATCATGTCACACTCCAGCAGGACATAATCATTAAAAACAAAAGAACTGTACTTAAGAAGTATTTGTATTTCATGAATTATATTATTGCATTTGGCCACAGCCCTCAGATAGATTTTCATTTTGGGGAAAAGGTTTGTGCAGCTTTGATATATGTATATAAACTTAAACAGTTAGACTAGTGCATCCTAAATTTAACATAAATTAATTATTTTAATACAATATAGTTATTTCTGAGTTTTGGGAGATGTCACCTCCTAATAAATATCATTATGTAAAACCTAACTGCTCATTTTATTCATTTCATTTAAAAAAATTAAATCAATACTTTTACTTTTAGTAATTAAGTACAAAAAATATCAGATACTTTAAGACTTTTACTCAAGTAATATTCCTAATGGAGACTTTAACTTTTACCWAAGTAATTTTTTGGTACGATACTTGTATTTTTACTCAAGTATCAGTTTGTGGTACTTTATACAACACTGTTCTTAGGACTGCGCTCTTTTGGACTGAGACCTTCGACATACCCAGAGTGTTGCTTCGACTCATTGATGCATGTTTGAGAAATCCTTGAATCTCCTGTAGCCATGTGAAGCTGCCTAAACACCTGCTGGTACAAAGCTCCGCCTATTTACACAAAGCTCCTCCCTTCTCCTTGGAGTGGGAGCTCAATGTGCAGCCGAGCTCCCGCCCTCCACAGACCACCCCTCCCCTGAAGCATTGTTATAAAGACGTGCTGAAGTGGGAGTGTCCAAAACGGTAGGGGATCTTTAAAAAGACAGAGGCCAATTTCCAGACGTTTAGATTGAAATTGTTAGATTAGATTGGTTAGATAGAAGTTTAAAAGACTTTAAGTAAAGTCAGATTTATTTTTGATACACACAGCATTTTCATAACAACTGAAGGTAACATATTTACTTGATTGTGGTCTAGAACTGAACTATGTGCCTGGAAAATGCATAACACCCCCTGTTTAATAATTGTCAGCTCAGCTTGCTAGTAGCTTGGTTGCAAAACAGAGAATTCAGGCAGATTGCAATGGGAAATTCACCTATTTTTGCCATTTCCTCACAATTTTAAGTCACCAACTAGTCCACCAGTGAGATATTACCATTGGGTAAGACTAATAGGCAATTTCCATTTCAATTGATCTGTTATTTTCCTGTTGCATTACCAAACAGCGCGAGACCACCATGCTCATTAGCGTCTGTTATTCATCTGTTATCTTTATAGATCCAGTGTAGATGTTTGCTCTGTATGTATTTTCACATCACGCAGTCTTTCTATATTGTGGGTTTTGGTGCTTTGATGTAAGCAACAAAAAGCCAGTCCTACGGCTTCGGGAGGCACAGTGTGTGTTCCAGCCCAACACCTGTTTTCAATTTCCCAACATGAAGGCGTTTCTATCAAAAGAAACAGAAAAACAATTGTTTTTATTGTGACACAAGGAGTGTGATCCTCTCCCTTTGTGTCACCCATCCTTTTTTCACCTCACGCACTCTCCCTCCTCTGCTCCTTCATCCATTTTAGTCAGCTCTGTGTTATGTGGCTAGTGTGGGTCATAGTTTTACTGCTTCATCTGGTCTTTGCTTTGCTGTGGTCAACATCTCACAAACATCCCTGTTTACTTGTACGGCTTCTGGCTGCCTCATACTGTCTACACTTTACACTTTATTGTTTTACTTTTCTGATTTTTCCTCTCTCTTTTCTTCCACTTCACTTGTGTTTGCGTTAACCTAATGTCCAGTTTCTTTCTGACTGGGGGTGTTCAGGGTAAACGGTGTGAATGACTCGGTCTTGTAGCTGGTCCAGCTTTCCGTTTTGCTTTAAAAAAAATAAATAAATAAAAAAGTTACAAATTGCTCCAGGCTTTTTGTTTCCACAGTTACCAACCTGCGTTCAGTCTTGTTGTTGTTACCTGATGTTTTGCGAGAGCATTCGTTTGTGTTTACAGAAACAATGAGGCCATATTCCTGGGCTTTTACGAGTTTCCACCAGAGTTGTGTCAGATGGATTTTATTTTCACTTTTAGTATTCTTATTGTTTTCATTAGGATATGGGGCAAACTTTAAGTTATTTTGATAACCTGCCACATGCAGTCAGTTTGTGTAATTCCCTTGGAAACATTCTCTTAATAGATTTCTGAGCCAAGTACCTTCTGAACTGTAAAAGGGAAACAATTTTTGATAATAAAAAAGTGCATCTGCTGTGTTTTTACTTGGAGTTTGGTGATAAAGGGGAAAGTTTTAATGAAGTTCTGTGTTGCTTGTTGGGGTTGATCTGTGTTCCTTCATCTGGTTAGATCAACAATATGTCTAAAACTGAGTTTATGTCATGTAGGATCCAATCTTTTCCCTTCTGTTGGAACATAAATGAAGATTTTTCAGGCTCAAATTGTGAAAAGATGTTTGACGCATTTTTACCTCATTGACAGATTCAGACGTTTCAGTTCATTAGAATGAGCCGGAGAACTTCTTAGACAATGAGAAAATGGAAATGAGTGGATGGAAGTAAAAGTTTTCTGTCTGTCAATCTATCCTTCCATCCATCCATCCTTCCTTCCTTTGATCCATCCATTGGTCAATCCATCTATCCATCTGTCAATCCTCCATCCATCTGTCCATCCACCCTTTTATCATCCATCCCTTCACCCTTTCTTCCATCCATCCTTGCATCATCCATCTGTCAATCCTTCCTTATATCTATCATCCACGTATCCATTGACCCTTCCTTCCCTCCTTTCCTTCCTTTCTTCCTTCCATCCACAGATCAATCTAGCAATCCATCCATCCTTCCATCCTTCCTTCCTTCCTTCCTTCCTTCCTTCCTTCCTTCCTTCCTTCCTTCCTTCCTTCCATACATCATCTATCAATCCATCCTTCCGTCCAGTCTCCCTTCCTTCCTTCCATTCCCTCACACATCCAACTTTCCTTCCATCCATCCATCCGTCAATCCTTCCTTCCTTTCTTCCTTCCTTGGTTATATCTATCCATCCACATATCCATTGACCTTTCCTTCCTTCTTTCTTTCTTTCTTTCTTTCTTTCTTTCTTTCTTTCTTTCTTTCTTTCTTTCCTTCCTTCTTTCTTTCTTTCTTTCCTTCCTTCTTTCTTTCTTTCTTTCTTTCTTTCTTTCTTTCTTTCTTTCTTTCTTTCTTTCTTTCTTTCTTTCTTTCTTTCTTTCTTTCTTTTCATCAATCCATCCAATGTCCCTTTCTTCCTTTTTTCCTTTCCTTCCATTGTTTCTTTCTTCCCTTCCCTCACATATCCATCTTTCTTTCCTTCCTTCCTTCCTTCCTTCCTTCCTTCCTTCCTTCCTTGGTTATATCTATCCATCCACATATCCATTGACCCTTTCTTTCTTTCTTTCTTTCTTTCTTTCTTTCTTTCTTTCTTTCTTTCTTTCTTTCTTTCTTTCTTTCTTTCTTTCTTTCTTTCTTTCATCAATCCATCCTCCCATCCAATATCCCTTTCTTCCTTCCTTTTTTCTTTCCTTCCATTGTTTCTTTCTTCCCTTCCCTCACATATCCATCTTTCCTTCCTTCCTTCCTTTCTTCCTTCCTTCCTTCCTTCCTTCCTTCCTTCCTTCCTTCCTTCCTTCCTTCCTTCTATTCCCCCATCCATCCATCCATCCATCCATCCATCAGCTGTGTAATGGTTTCAGGGTAAACTATCAAAGCTAAAGGTGATCATGTGTTAGTTTAGAGGCACGCCCTGCATCACTCACGATTCCAGAAGGTTTTTCACAAGTTTAACTAAAATCACAGCTGAAAACTTTGAAAGCAGATATTTTGAGTCCTCCTGGACTTCTTGTTTGAAGCCCGTTTAGACAACGTGGACTCTCATGGTTGTTTTTGTTCCAGGGTGTGGAGAGCATCTGATTCGCACCATGCTGGCTCGGGAGTGCTCTGCTGCCATGCAGTCTGAAGATGCCCACCAAGCCCTGCTGGAGGCTATGCAAAACAAATTCATCAGTGAGTCACCTCTTGCTTTCCATACAACACTTTTTCTGTGTGTGTGTGTGTGTGTGTGTGTGTGTGTGTGTGTGTGTGTGTGTGTGTGTGTGTGTGTGTGNGTGTGTGTGTGTGTGTGTGTGTGTGTGTGTGTGTGTGTGTGGAAGAACGTAGAGAAAATTAAACAAGCAGATGTTATTTAACGTGAGTGAACCCACAGGCAACTTAAAGAAAAAATAGATCCAGAAGAGACAACTTTTGATTTATGGCTATTTTCACTGTTTAAACAGGACGTTTGGAACGCTCCACACATCACAGCAACGACCACGGATAATTTTAGAAAGACATAATTGTTTCGTCGCATGTTTATTTGAAGATGTAATTTTGTTACGTTCCCATAAGCGGTCAGTTTTAGAAATCCTTGTTAAGTGTGTTTGCTGTGAAGCGAATGACCACTGGGCCCAGCTGAGAGAAGACAAAAGAGAGGACGTGAGGATACGTGTGGTGGTTTCAGCCTGGTTCTGGACCCAGTTTGGCTCAGTAATGATTATTTACAACACAGAAAGACTAAAAAGAAGTTATTTCTTCTTCTGGTTCCTTTTAAACACATCGGGTTAAATCAAGCACCGTAGCTCCAGCCTTAGCAGAAGCAGCAGCAGTCGGTGACTTAATGGTGATTAAGTAGGAAGTCTGCAGTTTTTGTTATTAAATGCTTTAAATTTCAAATTAAATGACATGAATCCAATTTGAAGACACTGCGCAATCTGTTTTTTTATTATAAACACTATGAAGATATCTATCATTGCAGCCTATTAAGCTAATATAGAATCATTTTAAAATGTACACACAATTCGGCATTAATGTTTTCCAGGCTACGCAAACAAAGATTGTTTCACGGAGTAAAAAGGGAGCATTATTTTTAGATGGAAACAAAATCTGTTTTAAAGAAACAACGGAATGCAGACACAATATTTTCATCAAATACACCATTTGGTCCTGATTTTATTTCTCTCTCTTTCTTTCTTCTTGTTGCCGTTTTGAGACAAGGACATGCTGCAGCTGTTTGTAGTTTGTTCCTATCCGAGCCAAGTCTTTTTGTTTTATTGCACCGCGCTCACGCTGAATAACACACAACACCTCGTTCATTTGAAGTTTGATCACTGAGCAAGGTATTTTTCATGGTTTTGTTGTTTTTCGTGCAAGGTAAAATATATTTTTATTCATATTGTGCAATACAACAGAGATTTACATTTACACTAGCCCTCATTAGCTCGTTATGTGTGTCCACGTGAAGGTACTGAAATGATTTTTGGCAGTTTACTAAAGAAGGTAATTGCATCCGAACAAAGTAATCACTTCCAATTGTTTAACTTGGCTTTGAATGCAGATAACTAGAATGGAAAAAGGATATCCCAAAGATCCCTTTCAATTGATTAAAAGACTCGTGTTCGCTGTATTCCACCCAGGATGAAACGCAGGTTTTTGTAATCGTTTCAAAAGACTTTAGAAAGAACGAAGCTGGCTCTAAGTTTCAGCACCACAGGGCTTAATCCAATTCTGGAGGCAAGAAATTTAGACGTGATTGTTGAGTCAAATTGCTGTTTTAAAGCTCGTGTGGCCAAGTATTACAACTTTTATTTATGATTGAAAAAATGCCTCCAAACTAAAAGTAAATAAAAAGCAGATTTGAGTCTTTTAATGGTCTTCATTCTGGCCTTGAAAGAAACAAAAACCAACCAAAGCTACATCCAAACTCTACATTTCAGCATGTTAAGCTCATCTTTTTACACAGTTTTATCATCTATTTTGCAGCTTTATTAGTTTTAAATAATATAAATATAAGTATTAGGCTTCATAGATATAGGTCGTGGATGTTTTTGTTGAGTAAAAAGTACCGAATAAAAACATTTCATAATAAATATATGATCGTTGAGCACTAACAGAGCGTACAGAACATTCGAGATTTCCTTCTTCTGTCTTGTGAAACTGTTTTTACTAATCAGCGTGTTGTTTTCTTTGTGCGTCTAGGCTCGCCCTTTCTGGCCAGTGAGGACCGTGTTTTGGGTGGAGTCATCGTGCTGAGGTGCTGCAGATGTGTGGAAGCACAGCCATCTCCTAACATTCAGGGCATACTGGGTGAGACGTTAATTATTTCAGATAAACCTCTGTGTTACTGCCAAGGTTTGGCTGTGAAAAAGTAAAAATGTATCTTCAGACGAATGAGATGAATGACGAGGAGGCGTGGCTTTCCTGGCAGGTGGTCTTGTGTTTTAATTTGTGCAATCAGGCTCTCGTTTCACGCTCTTCTCCTCAGATCAAACTGAGACCTCCCACCCTGGAACCAAACACTAATCTTCAGACAAACCGCTCCTTCTGAATGTCGCTCACTTTGACTGATTGTTTTGATGGAAATGGTTTCTGCAAACTGTCAGCATTCAWAGAGTCTGAGCTGGACCCAAAGTTCAGTGTTTGTGATTCAGTTCTAAGTTTTTATATTTTCTTTTATGTACATCTCAATTTAAAAAGAAAAAATCCAAATTTGAAAGTAATTTGCGTGTAAAAACATCAAGAAAACTTTTCAAGTTGACGCTTACTTCACCACAATCGACCGGAACAACACCCTCATTACTGCTGATAAGCCACCATCTCCTGCATTAAACATTAAACTTCAGCATCACAAAGACTCATAACTATATTATTCCTTTATAAGAGTAGTGATCTGTTGTGGTGTTTAATATTTTTTAGTCTACCTCCCCCCTCTTTTGTTACTGCCAATAAAAGCCATTCTAATAGTTTTAATAATTACAGCATAACAAAAGACTTCTAAATTCTGTCTACTGTAGTTTCCAAACTATGTAGCGCGCCTGAATATAAGCTGCACCCACTAAACTTAAAAAATAAATAAAATTGTACATGCAGTATTTAGGCCGTGCTTGTCTATAGCTGTGTTTCTAGAGATGTGAGATACGCAAACAATCCGAATCTTTTAAATGGCTCTTTACAACGAACGATAGGAGCCGAGTCGCGGCCAGTAACGAGCCATTTGTAGTTTTATTTCTTTTATTCCTCATATAATCTTTATTTTTTTCATCCTTAAATGGCTCCCGCTTTGCTTTTTCACTTAAAACAGGCAGAGCGGTGGAGTACAGAAGCTCATGGAAAGGGGGAGGGGGGTTTCTGCTTGACACAACCCATGGTTCCACCCACATAACGCGATGATGTCATCACATACGGCGACGTGATGACGTAACTCATTCAAAATCGAACGGCTCTTTTGAATGGTTGTATAAAAAATAAAAATAAAACAGTTCCTCATTATCCGGATCCCTTCAAAGAGCCATTAATCCCATATCTGTGTGTTTCCATCAATGTTTTTTTTTTTGTGCGCATTTTGAAGTATCACATTAGAAAACCTGGATGGAAACGGCAAAATTCGCTAAAACTTTCTCAATTACGCAAAATAATTTATACACTCGCTTGAGGTGGTTTTTGGATTTTTTGAAAAAGAGTTGATGCGCAAAAGGGGAGATGGAAACACATTTGCCGAATGAGTTCTGACACGATGCACAAAGACATCATCTGTCCCACACAACACACACACATACACACACACACACACACACACACACACAATGTCCTGCTTGTGATTGGGTCAAATTACAAACAAAAAGTCAAATAAAGAAAATAAAAATTTGACCTGCGTTATTTAGCGACTGCACTTTGCAACCATTAGATAATACTTCCTTATTCTGTCTGTCTCATGTGCAGAAGGAGAGAAGAGAGAAAGACATGAAGGCAGAGCGTCGACTGTCAATCACATCGCATCGCTGTGTTAAAAAATTATTTAATTAAACAATAATTTGTGCTGAATGTAATGGAAATTATAACAAAGAAACAAAAATGCCAGAGAAAGGTGATATTCAGGAAGAAATTCGAAGTTATTTTTGATTTTCTTCACAAAGGGCGGCCCCGCACCTGCGCGTCGGCCCCACTCAGTGAAAATCCATAAATTATCTGCATCATTGTTTAAGCCGCAGAGTTCAAAGTGCATAAAAAAGGTAGCAGTTTATGATGTAAATGATGATTTTGTAACTTTTCTTTCAGTGGAGTTCCTATGGAGTCACACCACAGAGAGCATGTGTGTTGGCTATATGTCTGCACAAGACAGCAAAGCTAAGGTGAGTTTCCATTTTGTTTGTTTATAAATAAAACTTTTACTTTAAAAGATGTACTTAATATGATTAGGGAGTCCAAAAGTGAAATCTTATCGACTTTATAAAACATTTGAATTGTCTAAACTCATCCTGAAACTCTGTTTGTAAAAAATAAAACTTCATTATGACATCACATTAAATGTTTTTATTATCATTATTATTATTATTATTGTTGTTGTTGTTTCCATTCTGGTTTCTCAGACCTGATCTCCTGCCCTCTGTTTGAACAGAAGGCACTGTTGTTCAAGTCTGGTTCAGGTTTCAAAGCGTTTGCCCCCCACCCCCACCCCTCCACTCTTTCATCAGCTCCTCTCTCTGATCACTTCCTGGACTTAAAGCACTTCAAAAGTCACCAAAAAATGTTTTGATATCAGGCTCCTTGTTGATCCAGTGTCATCAAACTAAACGTTTTTTTGTTCTTTTATACAATAAGGTTTTAAATAAACACCATGCAGTCCCTCAGTAGCACCAACTTTATGAAATGACTGCGTTCGGTGGGTGCAGATCCATGTTTGACAGCATCTGGATCTCTGGGGGGGGGGTATCCACATCCTCTTGAGGGGACCGGTGGTGGTTGTGATATGGGAGAGCGTAGACAGGATCCCAGCTGCTCCAGCAAACCTCACACTGAGCTATCAGAGAGCGATTAGCTCGCCGTGGGATTTGAGCTGCGAAGCTGCGGTGCGTCTCTGTGCTCCGACCATCTGCACACCAGAGCAGCTGGTCGCTCTGTTCGTGGTGCCCGCTCCTGGGTTTAGAGCTGGTCACCACCTGAGTACGTTCATTAACGGGGGCTACGCGGTCTCTCTGATCAGATGAAAACATAAAAGCAGAAACTCTAAAGCTTTCAGGCTCAGTCAACAGAGACTGTACCACCTGCAAGTTCATGACTTTTAAAGGGATCCATGATTAGTTGTAACATTAAACTTTATTTGATAAACATTTATTTTAACAGTAAAATAAAGACTGTAAAAATACTGTAGGCTGTTTAGTTTTGTAAATTTTTAAATATATATTTTAACACGAATGGAGCCATTTTATTTACACACAAAGCATTCTGGGTAAATGATGACATGGATAGGTCCTCGGTGTGAGCGAGCTATATCCACCCTGAAGGTTAATCTTGGACAATATCTGATGATCGACTCTTTTAAATGAAACCAGAGAGCGTTGACAGAGAGGAGAAGGTAGAAATGACTCAGCCTGKAACTGAAAATATGGATGGAGGACAACAGAGCTGCTTCATGGAAGAAGAACCTCAGCTTAGCCTGTTAGCTTTAGCATTAGCGCCGACGCTATTGCCTTATATGTATTAGCTCAGCGCTAGCGCGACAAACAAGCTAAACTGAGGTCCTCCATCCATATTTTCAGCTCCAGGCTGAGTCATTTCTACCTTCTCTCTGTCAACGCTCTCTGGTTTCATTTAAAAAGGTCGATCATCAGATATTGTCCAAGATTAACCTTCAGGGTGGATATAGCTCGCTAGCAGCCTCACAACAAGGACCTATCCATGTCACCATTTACCCAGAATGCTTTGCATGTAAATAAAATGACTCAGTCTGTGTAATATATTTTTAAATTTTTAGTTTAAAATGATAAAAACTTAACAGCCTACAGTATTTTACAGTCTTTATTTTATAGTTAAAAGGATTATCAAATAAAGTCTAATGTTACAACTAATCCTGTATCCCTTTAAAACAATATTACTTTACCTGAAATTTTTTTACACACATATTTTTGATTATAGTTCTCCGCTCAGACTATATTCCTCAAACATTCCTCCCATTCCTGCTAGCAGAGCATTTCTACCCGTCAGGTTATCTGCCGCTGCTTTTCTACGATAAGAGCATAAAAGGGCTGACACACTGTAGCACCACTATTTACTACACACTTGGATCAACTCGTTGTATTTTCCTTTAGAGTCATTTTTATATGTTTTATGTGAGGTGAGCCAATTAGGCTGCGGAAAAGGATAAATGGATATTATGGCAAACTTTTTTTATTCCTGTTTATTTAACTCTACATATTGTTCTTTTTTTGTATTTGTGATTCTTGTAGGAAAGAATGTGACACACACACAAAGAAAACAGACATAAAAAATAAGCATGAAACTATATTTTTCCTTCTGTGATGTTAATGCGTGGCTTCAGTAACCCCCTGAAACACATTGGTGTCACCAAGAATGTTGTTTTTCTCGAAAAGCTCAAATCGAACTGCTTTTCCTCGTGTTGTGACCAGCTGTAGTCCCGTCATGCGGCGCTTCTCCCAAGTAACAAGTCGTAAACAGAGTCGTGGAAAGTTTTCATGTCACGGCTCCATATTTCATCCCAATTTTTGTTTTTCTTTCAAACCACTTGACTGAGATGTTGCTGCTAACAGACRAAGCTGTACCAATTTCTGCATGTGTTAAATTGGAATAAATAAGATGCTTTTATGTTCTGAACTACACATTGTTGCCACTTCCTCCACTAGTCGGAATCAAATGTTAAGGTTCCTTGCCTAAAGGTCGTCGCTTTAACAGTTTGAATCTGTTTATTTTACACATCTCAAGCCTGAAGAGCCTCTGACTGTCATATGAGTTAATGCCTTGTGGGGATTTTCAGCTGCGTATTCAGTGTAAAAGCTGTTTTCCTCTGGCTCGCTAACATCAAAAGGAAAAGCATGTAGCACGTCACCATAAGTTGATTATGCCTCAGCCATAGAGCTCCTCTCCAACAGTTTAAACGAGACCTCTCTTTAACCCTGTCCTCCGAAGATGAAGGGAAGAAGATGAACCCCGAGACGTGAACTGGAGGCATAATGGCCCCTGAGAGTACTGCCATGTGTGCTCGGCCTTGTCTGGCTGTCATCCCGTCGTAGTGACAGTTGCCCTCGGGGCGCTCGGGGGAAACGGTCTGAGCCGACACCAGAAAGCAACCAGTCATCTCCTGCATCTGGACGAGTGATGTCAGGCCCATTCAGTGGCCTGCCTAATGAGTGGAAGTGCTCTTCCCCCGTGACGAAGTCGGCTTCAGCCTTTTGTGGCGACTAACGGGAAGGAGCATGACGGCAATTAATGGCACAGGGCGAGCCGGTCACCTCTGATCCACCAATGGAAGCATCGCTCCTGCCTTCACAGCTGCTTCTGCCCCTTCCCCGCAATAACATCTCTCCTATAGTTGAACAAGTCTCACCGCTTTGAGCCACTAGCTACTCTTTAATTGTCCTGATGTATCTCAGTAATCCAGGTAGATATACAGTATATATAGTATATGCTGTTAAGTGTCAGGAGGACTGTAATCAGTTATACATTGGGGAAACAAAACCACTGTTCAAAAGAATGAGCCAGCACAGACGAGCTACTTCGTCGGGTCAGGACTCTGCAGTTTACACTCATCTACAGGCCAGGACTCTGCAGTTTACACTCATCTACAGGCCAGGACTCTGCATTTACACTCATCTACAGGCCAGCGGTCACTCTTTCAGGGATGAAGATGTTCTCATCCTTGATAGAGAGGAATGTTGGTTTGAGAGAGGAGTAAAGGAAGCCATCTTTGTGAAGAAAAAAACATCCACCATTAAACAGAGGTGGAGGCCTTCGTGTCCATTTGTCCTCCTCCTACAATGCTGTTATTGCAAGTATGACTCTGCCCCCTGTGAGCAAAAGGTGTGAATCAGGGCCCCAATGACACCAACACAAAGAGGGAGAGAGGAACAAAAACAAGGGGGCGTTGAACCCCTGCTTGCATTCACTACATTCACATAACACGACACGGGTCAGATGATGGGGCACATGACCCTCTATGAACAATAGAGCCAATCAAGCCTATTGTTAGGCGATGGCCCTCTTTTGCATGTGACTAACCTGTTTGTCCATGTGGAGGCAGTGTTTATTAGGCTGAGTTCACCTGAAACTCATCAGACTGATGAAGTCTCTTGGAGAGACGAAACGTTTTACTAAAGAAGAACCCATCCAGAGGACCTACTTATTTTTTCGTTTTGATTTCTAAATTAAATATATTTCTGAAAATTTTCATCTATGATCTTAAAGAAAAGTTTAAGTTTAGTGCAAATATATCGGGTCTGCATAACGACGTAAATGTACCAGTTGAATTTGTATGGGTTCCAATGGTGTTTCCATATTCCATATTTATACCACCAAATTGTGAAATATACATTAGTAAAGATTTTTAACTACAAAATAGTCTATAGTAGGGGTGTAAGAAAATATCGATACACTGAATTATCGCGATATTTCATTTCCCGATACTGTATCGATATTCTAAAGCCCTGTATCGATTTTTTTATTAAGGTTTAAAATGTCAACTTTCCTGCCAGCCGTTCATTTTTATGTTGTAGTTCAGCCTCTGACCACTAGTTGGCAGCAGTGAGCCAGTCATTTGGCTACTCTACATCTTGAGGTACAGGCTTTTGTTAAGTGTTGGGTGACCATATTGTAAATTAATATTAAAAACTAAAATCTGCAAAAAATATATATTTTCAAACTATTTATTGTCAAATTTAGTCTAATAATTGAAATCATGGATGAAATAAGAAATATGAAACAAATAAAATAAAATGCATACAAAGCAGAACACAGCTAAATGTATCAAAAGTATGTCTATGTAATATTAGAATTTTCTGAGACAATGAATTTTGGTTTTTCATTTTTTTTCTACTGTAAGAGGTTTTTATTTAATAGAATTTTTGGACAAAAAAATCACAATATATCGCAATATATCGCCTTGCTTATAGTATCGCAATATATCGGGATATATCGTATCGTGACCCCTCTGTCATGATATGTATCGTATCGCCAAATTCTTACCAATACACAGCCCTGTCTATAGGGACATACTGTACTTTCAGTGAAATACTACTGTAAGTTATGGAAATGAAAAAAAAAAGATTACTGAGACAGAGCACACATGCAAAATCATTTAATATCAGAGTCGTTTTAATGTGTTTTGCAATAAAATGGTTGTTCTTGATTAAATAATTGTATTATCAAACCCACACTGGTTTCATATATTTACCAGAAAGTTTTTTTAATTTATTCATTTCAGACACACATTTCCAGACTGCCACCCGGGACGGTTCCGGGCCAGTCGTTGGCCATCGAGGGAGGAGTGTGTCGGCTGATGGGCGTGGTGGAGTGAACCACTTTCTTTTCTCCTTCTCTCCAACCTTCTGGGCTTCCTTAGCAATACCCTCAGTGAACGTGCACTCACTCCTTCCCGCAGCGGTGCGATGTCCGAGATAAAAAGCTTCTCTTTGTTGTCGCAGGTTTTCAGGCCGGAGCGGAGAACGTTAGCTTCTACTTAGTGCACTTACAGGACTTCCCTTTGCCACCGTCTGCCTCCAGTTCGTAATCTATGCCAGTTCTAAACTCTCCAGTGTCGCCTGGATTAAACTTGACGCACCATTGCCTTGATCTCTTATTTTGGTACGTTTTCCCAGCTCAGAGAGTATCCTTCCCTTTTTTGTACATAAGCTATAATTTAGGTAAACAGGGTGGATATTAACGTTTTGTGTTGCTGAACTTTTACGTATAAATAATGCAAGACTTCTTCTGTACGCTTCAGCATAATAAGATGTCAGTTTGCACCTTGTGGAATGCTTATTCAGATTTTAAACTCATAGCTAAGAAAGTATTTATAACAAAAGTGGCAATAACAAAATCATCTTTAACATGTTTGTTTAAATGCTTTATAATATATGATGATTTCATTACAAGTAGCATATTGTGCATATTTAATCAATATTTTATTACTATTTCAGTCAGAAGAGTTTGCTTTTAAAAATGTGAATATTTAGGTTTTGCATGTACAACTTCAATGTGTAAAAAGTAAATAAAATCAAAGTGCAATGATTTCTAAATCAAATTTGCGATAAATCAAATGTTCAAATCATTGTGTTTTGTTTTTAATTACGTTTTTACCTTTTTTGTTTTTAATTGGGGTTATAGAGAATCTACAGTAAGCCACTTTCCTTTATGGTTAAAGCAAACTAATAGGATTTCTGTTACTCATCATTCACATTTATATAGTTTCATTAACAGAGATGTGTATTTTCTTGTTAGAACAATACATCTAAAATATATTGTATAAGGCCCATGAAATGGTGCTTTTAAATTGTACTTGAAAAGAACAAATATCTGAATTGATACAGCAGTTGAGCTTTTTGTTTACTTGAAAATGCAAATAATCTGAAATATAAGCTTTGTAGATCATATGTGCAACTGTCTGCAGTGCTAAAAACTGAATAAAATCATATTAATAGATTTTTATATGTGTTTGTTAGTATTTTAACTAACATTAAATGCATTCTACACATATTGGACATTTAAAACCCCTTGTGTTCTCAGAATAAATGTTTTAGGCTTTGATTGGAGAAAGCACAGCTGTATCCGTGCATTCGGACGTGGCTTTGACCAGCTGCTGGCTCTGGATCGTGGCCACCGACACGTCCGAGAGGAATGTGCAGCCGAGCTGTGAAAAGATTATTCCCCGGCGTTTGAAGGCAGAAATGCCTCCCTGTCGGTGCCAGGCTGAGAGATCGGACCACATGCTGATGACATCCAGCCGGTTTGCCTCTCAGGTGAAACACGCCGCGGTCGTTCGCCTCCACAGACACTCAGAATGCATCCGAGAGGTCAGGAGGATCACGTGTTTAACCGAGGAGATGCTGCGCGTGTTTGTTTTTATTCCACGGCCACCTGACCCCGGTTTGATCTTTAAAGTCCACTCAAAGTGAGACGAATGTTGCCTCGCTCCTAACCCGGCCCTCCACTCTTCATTGGCATCATTATGTGTTATTACAGAGCAGGGGCTTTTCATCAGAGCTAATCAGTGCCACAGGGAGACTGCATTCAGCAAATAGAACCTGTGGATCCCCCTCAGCTTTGAAAACAGATCCGGGCTCTTTTTAAACAGTGGATCGCTCCTGAGCCGTTTAAGGTGTATCCGATGCCTTCCGCTCGGCTCGTAAACGCAAAACAGACATGACGCAAATAAAGATCAAAGGCTGCGGCCTTGCCCGTCTGTCCCCGCTGTCCTCACATGCCAAGYGGTGCTGTCACCAGGAGTCACGGCCGTGAGGCTTTGCACGCCGACCCCTCCCCCCTCTATCACTGTCCCGCCAACACGTGAGGTGTCAAAGTGTAGACCTGAAAGTCGAGATCATTTAAGAACAAGTCGTCGTCTTACGCGAGTTCAAGAATGTATACATCCAGCGATTAGTTTCTGCAAGTTTAATTTAAATTTAATCCTGTGGTTTGTGAGATTTTTCTTTGTGTTCGACACTATTATTGTCCACCTTTTCCTTTGCTAACATAGTGGTCTCTGCACAGTGGAAGTAAATGTGCACAGATTTAGTTGCACCCCATCAAAGACAAGGTGTTACGTTTTAAAACCGTCCTGACAGTTGAGGTTGCTCAGCTGTAAACTCGGAAAAATTTGCCCTTTGACCTCCACAACCACCTCCTCCCCACGTGTAGCGAAGATGAGCAAGAAGGTATGGCAGGCAGAGCACCTGTGGCGCCCACACTTCTGTGTTATCACTGCGAGGGTGGGCACATGCTACATAACCAAACTACTCATCCAGGTCTGCCCTTTCAGATAAAAAGCTAAAATTCTTTTAATCAGCTTCTCCTTGCAGTTGTGGCCCAGACGCTTCCTGCACTGCGTGCTCCCCCACCCGTAAAGCAGCCGCGCAAATAAGCGAGTGAAGGAAAGTGAAAGGAGGAGATACTAAAAATGGCCTCCGCCACATCTGCAGTACACCGCAAAGAAAAAAAATAAAAGATGTGTGATTACCGCCAGGCAACCTGCTCATTTACCTACAGGAGAATTCCCAGTGAAGCTCCAGAAACGACCTGCAGCAGAAAGTTTCACGTCCTCAACAACATTCCCACGTTCAGAACTGCTTTGTTCTTCTTTTCAAACCCATTTGTTTTCTCGTTGGGTGAATGCTGTGTCAGCGCCTGGCTACTTTCACACTACATTCATACATTAAAAAGTTTAGCTCTTTCAGATAAAATGTGCTGACTTTTAAATTTTTTATCACTTTTATGCTTTTATATGTTTGCACACATTTTCATACAGAAATATATTCAACTTCATCAGCAGACTTGCTCTAATTTAGTCTAAGGCTGTCATTTTGCTAACTTTAGCTACTTTTGTTTACTTTTAGCTACATTCTATGACTTGGTATTTCATTTACGTTCTGCCACTACCGTTTAGCTATAGTTCTGCTACTTTTTACTAGTTGCTGCTTTTAGCTAGTGTTTTAGCTTTTGATACTTTTGGCTTCTTTCTATTCCACTGGTACTTTTAACTAGCCTGATATACTTCTAGCTTTCAGCTAGTCTTTTCATAATTTTAGCTTTTGCTACTTTGTGTTACGATTTAGCTGTTTTTAGCAAGCCTTTTGAAACTTTTAGTTAACTTTTTGCTTAACTATCCTTTGATGCTTTGAGCTTTCAGCTAGTCTTTTCATGCTTTTTAGCTTTTGATGCATCTAGCTAGTTTCTTGCTACTTTGTGATTTAGCTATTTTAGCTAACCTTTTGAAACTTTTATTGAACTTTTTGCTTAACTAGCCCGATATACACTCACCGGCCACTTTATTAGGTACACCTGTCCAGCTGCTCGTTAACACTTAATTTCTAATCAGCTAATCACATGGCGGCAACTCAGTGCATTTAGGCATGTAGACATGGTCAAGACAATCTCCTGCAGTTCAAACCGAGCATCAGTATGGGGAAGAAAGGTGATTTGAGTGCCTTTGAACGTGGCATGGTTGTTGGTGCCAGAAGGGCTGGTCTGAGTATTTCAGAAACTGCTGATCTACTGGGATTTTCATGCACAACCATCTCTAGGGTTTACAGAGAATGGTCCGAAAAAGAAAAAACATCCAGTGAGCGGCAGTCCTGTGGGCGGAAATGCCTTGTTGATGCCAGAGGTCAGAGGAGAATGGGCAGACTGGTTCAAGCTGATAGAAAGGCAACAGTGACTCAAATAACCACCCGTTACAACCAAGGTAGGCAGAAGAGCATCTCTGAACACACAGTACGTCGAACTTTGAGGCAGATGGGCTTCAGCAGCAGAAGACCACACCGGGTGCCACTCCTTTCAGCTAAGAACAGGAAACTGAGGCTACAATTTGCACAAGCTCATCAAAATTGGGCAAGAGAAGATTGGAAAAACGTTGCCTGGTCTGATGAGTCTCGATTTCTGCTGCGACATTCRGATGGTAGGGTCAGAATTTGGCGTCAACAACATGAAAGCATGGATCCATCCTGCCTTGTATCAACGGTTCAGGCTGCTGCTGGTGGTGTCATGGTGTGGGGAATCTTTTCTTGGCACTCTTTGGGCCCCATGGTACCAATTGAGCATCGTTGCAAYGCCACAGCCTACCTGAGTATTGTTGCTGACCATGTCCATCCCTTTATGACCACAATGTACCCAACATCTGATGGCTACTTTCAGCAGGATAATGCGCCATGTCATAAAGCTGGAATCATCTCAGACTGGTTTCTTGAACATGACAATGAGTTCACTGTACTCAAATGGCCTCCACAGTCACCAGATCTCAATCCAATAGAGCATYTTTGGGATGTGGTGGAAYVRGAGATTCGCATCATGGATGTGCAGCCGACAAATCTGCGGCAACTGTGTGATGCCATCATGTCAATRTGGACCAAAATCTCTGAGGAATGCTTCCAGCACCTTGTTGAATCTATGCCACGAAGAATTGAGGCAGTTCTGAAGGCAAAAGGGGGTACAACCCGTTACTAGCGTGGTGTACCTAATAAAGTGGCCGGTGAGTGTACTTTTAGCTTTCAGCTAGTCTTTTCATAATTTTAGCTTTTGATGCATCTAGCTAGTTTCTTGCTACTTTGTGGTACGATTTAGCTATTTTTAGCAAGCCTTTTTAAACTTTTAGTTAACTTTTTGCTTAACTATCCTTTGATACTTTGAGCTTTCAGCTAGTCTTTTCATGCTTTTTAGCTTTTGATACATCTAGCTAGTTTCTTGCTACTTTGTGATTTAGCTTTCTTAGCTAGCTTTTTGAAACTTTTATTGAACTTTTTGCTTAACTAGCCTATATACTTTTAGTTTTCAGCTAGTCATCTCATAATTTTAGTTTTTGATGCATCTAGCTAGTATTTTTGCAACTTTGTTGTACGATTTAACTATTTTTAGCTAGCCTTTTGAAACTTTTAGCTAACTTTTGGTTTTAACTTAGATAGCTTTTAGATGCTTTTTGCTTATAGCAGCATTTAATTTTTGTTGGTAAATCCCAGAGGCAGCCATGACAAACTTGGCTTTAAATCGTGCACATACGTTGGACATAATTTCCTTCTCAAAACAAAAATAGAGGCAAAATACCAGAAATCATATCTTAGTGATGTTTAATGAGCCCTTTCGAATCCTTGACAATATACCACTAATATGGAGCTTTGCTGTATTTGAAACAAACCAGAATGGATTCCTGAAAATAGCAACACAGAAGCGCGAGGCCTGTCTGCCCTCTCCTGCAACCCCACACCGACTTTACATCTGTCTGTTCTCCCATCAGGCACAGTAATCACAGCGCATGTTCTGGTGCGAGTAAGAAGTGAGCAGTGTGCACGAGCAGTGGACACGTGGAGCAGAAGGTGGAAGAATGGGATGTAATGAGTTGTTTCAAAATAAAAGCTGAACACCTTTCAGTTTTGATCCTCGCATGTTTCCATTAAGCCGTGATGCAACTGAGGCACATCAGGTGGATTAGAAACAGWGCCTGATAACAGGATAAAAAAAAGTACCTGTGTGATTCACAGCAGACACCTGAGGGAGCTGCTGGTGTAATGCTAAAACAACAACATAAGATGTTCATGAAGGTATTCTGTGTGAACAGTGAAGCAACTCGGTGGTTGGAAGCAGCGCCTCCGGGGTGTGAAACGTGCCGGGGCACGCCGCCTCAGAGAGGCGAGCCCTGCACCCAGCCAGCAGTGCAGCTGCAGCGCACAGGGCTGCAGTAATGAGGGCACCATGAATGGCTTTCTCTGTGTGACAATGACTGCAGCTCTCAGCAGGGAGGGGATGGTCAGAGGTCCCTGCTTAGCTGCACTGAGCGTGTGTGTGTGTGTGTGTGTGTGTGTGTGTGTGTGTGTGTGTGTGTGTGTGTGTGTGTGTGTGTGTGT